AAACTTGAAACTTCTTTGTCGTTTATTTGAATGTCACCAGAAATTCAGCACTTTTTCAAACATAATTCACCTCATTTGGAAATTTCACAGGAAAGTTTCAGGTTTTTCGCTGATTCTTTGCTGAAAGAGTAGTGCATTATTCCAAACAAAATTCACCCATTTTTTCGCCGAATTATCCGAATAGTTCAACCAGTGCGTCAGCCGGCTTAGCTGCGGCTGCCGAAAAATTTGTTATTTGGTGATTTCAACCAACTGTTGCTAACCTTTGAAGCATAGTATGCCGATATATATATCACACCTAGTGGGTCCTTACAAATAATCCAAGACATGTTTCGAGTCTGGGGGATCGGTCTATTGGTTCGGGGGAAATTCCTTATTTGGTCTGTTTCGACCTGCACTTGGGGACAGACGAAGAGAAAATTAGTCCTAGCTTTTGACTGTTATACGCTGCGCGGCACTGCGCCGCGGCAAAACACTCCCATCCACTGCCGCGCCTGGTGGGCCTCGCGTAAAGGTTGGGTGCAGAGGGACACATATGTAACATGAGAACTTCCTCCAACTCAATCTTGCATGTCTCTTGCGAGTTGTAGGCTGCGCGGCACAGCAGCCACGGCTGCCAGTGCGGAAAAAACCTCAGCCAAGGGCTCAACAGCAACCTCGCCCTCACAAACAAAGCCTCTAAAGCCAAATTTCAGGGCAGCGTTCAGAGTATTTGCGAACCGTATGACACATGTTTTGTGTCAGGGACTCGGGGGAACTTGTCCGTAGTTATTGTAGAATTGCTGCCCATTCGGTGAGTTGAACCTGGATGAGTTGAACCTGGATGGTAAGAAATCTGAACTACAAAACCTCCCACGTGAAGGACAGACCTCGTGCCCATCATTGAAGGGTACAAGCCCAGCTTTTGGTGCGAGGAATTATCTTTTGCTTCCCCAGAAATGTCCTATGTATTTGGTCGTCTCGACGAACCGTGACCAACTGAAGACAAACTGTGCAAGCACGCGTTATCCCTGGTCAAGGATTGCACCTAATAGGTCCATTTGAGATGTCCAAGGCGTGGCTTGACTCTCGGGAATCGATCCAGTGGATCGTGTGCAATTCGGCGACTCAACCGATTGCAAGCCTGAGTTAGAACGTAGGTATGATAAGTACAAAATTGGAGTTCGTTTTTTTTTGACATAGGCCGATGCATTAGGCTTAGGCAAAGCTAACAACATTGATTTACAGTTTCTAGACCATTCCTTCAAATGTTATACGCTGCGCGGCAATTTGCCGCGGCAAAACACAGCCACCGCCTCGTCAATGCGGCGGTCAATGTAAAAGTTTCTGCATCAATTTGGATGCCCAGCACTATGATAAAGTCCCGCAAAATTCAATCTAGCATGGTTGTTCAAGGTTTACAGGCTCTCCTGACAAAAAGGGCATCTTACATCCAGTTAGTTCAACTTGGGTTCAACGGACGGAGTGAACATTCCGAGAAAAGATCATGGCAATCCAAGTACCACACCTAGTTAAGCCCTACTATCCCGTGGAGACATGATTTGCATCTGGGGGATTGGCCCAACGATTCTCCTGAAATTCCCTATTTGGCCGTCAACTTGGATATCATGTGTCAAAAATTGGGATTGGTTTTTTTGAGCTAGAAACCTGAATTGGGCTTAGGCGAAGCTAACAACAAGTACTCAGAGTCCACAGGACCTTTCAACAAAAGTTACAGGGCTCGCGCGTCACTGCCGCGGCAAAACACAGCCACCGCCTCGTCAATCCGGCGGTCCATGTAAGGCTTTTAGGCACTATGTTTTCTGACCCACAAGCGTGAAAGCAGTATGAATCATTCCTCCAACCCAATTCAGCATGTTTGCACATGAGGTACAGGTTGCGCGGGACTAACATGATATAAATTCAGACAATCGCACTTCGTCATTCCAAACAACGGCGGTTGCAAAGCATCCAAGAATGGATTCACCCACCGCCAAATCACGTTTAGTGTGCTATTCTGAATCTTTCAAGACATGCTATAAGTGCACAGAATCACTAGCATCTGAGTAACAATCAGTATTTGGTGGTTGAACCGAAGTTTGCGACACTGTTGAATTATAGAGGGCCGAAATGTGACCATCAAGCCTAGTGTGTATCATTCAGGAGTTCAGGCCCCATTTGAGTCTGGGCAATCGCCGCAGTGGTTCTCGGAAATTTCCCTATTCGGTTGTTGCGGTCGAGGACAGCGAGCTTTTCAAGTACATGTTATTCTGATGTAAATAGCAGGCCTAGTAGCTCCTGACGACTAGTTCAAGCCGTGCTTGGACCCAGGGGAATCGGTGCAGTGGTTCTTGTAAAATACCCTATTCGGTCGAGACGACGGAATGCAACTTAGATGGTGGTCAAAAGTTGCGGCGTTGATTTTTTGACTGCAAACAGTGTATATGGCTTAGGCAAAGCTAACAATAGTCACTCAAAGCTTCCAGAGCATTCCCTCGAAATTTATAAGGTGCGCGCGGCACTGCCGCGGCAAAACACAGCCACCGCGCGTCAATGCGCGGCAATGCCGCGTCAGTGCGCGGCAGCGCCGCGGCAGTCGCGGCATTTTCACCCAGCCCCCAATTCGGTACTAAGGCCTGGGATGCATCATTTCAGCGCCCGATTGAGCGATAGGGGCGCGATCACTTCCATGTAGCGACCTGTAATCGTTCATTTAGGCCTCAATAAATTGTGAAAAGCATGCCATTATCATGGATCAGTATATATGTGCCTACTAGAGCTCGGAAGTCTCATTTTGTAAGGCTTTTTGTCAAGCAAGTTCCAGTGAACTGGTTTCGGCACAAATAAACCTACAAGAATTCCGAGTAGTACTTTTCTCCGTCCCATCGCACTAAGACTGCTTCTCACGGGGCGGCTGTGTCAGTATGTCAGAGGCTTTGGATGAAAACAATATTGTGACAATGTGCTTCCCAAAAATTGATAAGAGAATAGACAACGGTACTCAGGATGGGATTCTACAATTTCTAATTGGATACATCAGACAACTTGTGCGAGTCAGGTTCAACCAGCTAATTATATTCATAGTCCACTCCATAAATGGCCGCGCAGCGGCGAGAAGAAAAAAACCGAGACCGGGAGTCATGGAAATTGACATTACATTGACCAGTCACATTGGCCCGCGCAGCGGCCAGAAAATTTTACGGGACTTTGTGGGGTGTTGATATAAATGTGTGTCAAAGAGTGGAAAGGGCCAAAGTTATGTACAAGCCTGAAAATTGTCCCGTTTGACCATAAATCCCTGCATAAAGCAAACACATAGATCTTCTCAACAAAATGCATAGTGGAAGCATTTACCGGGGACAGTCCGACACTTTTGTCCCCAAGACAAGAGCCACTTGGTTGATTAGCTGCGGCGGAGGTGAGGGAAAAAGAAAAAGTGTGTGAGCAGATTCGAGCGCAAGACCTTGTGATCGTAGCAAAACAAGCGCAGGGACAGCAAACCGCTGGGCGAAGCGTTCAATGGCAGGGCGCTAACACATGTGCACTAAACCCCCGGATCAATTATATTTGAATAGGAAGAATCAAAATCAAAAATTCCAGACACCGCACGGCGGCCGGAAAGATAAACAGCTGCGATGTTTCATCACCCCCAAAGCTGTGCCAAAAACAGCATGCCAGTAGCCATTGGTCAGGGTTAGGACACTACATCGAAGGGGTAACCCCCAGTAATCCTTCAGGTTTCGGTATGTGGATGCCGGATACGTACCTTGTGAATATTGATGCAAATCCCCCTGAGAGTTACCATCGAGATGTGTAGGATAAACTGGAACATCTCACATGACATTCTGGGACCCAAGACGGGAAGAATTGTGAGAGAAGACGGCGACATGGTACTGAACGATAATACAATCAAACCCCATGTCGTCACTTGGTCCCTCACTCCTCATGTGTACCAACCATGTTGATTGTCCAACACTTGTTGCTATGTACTGTGTTTTCTTTCTAGCTGATGGGTTCTGAATTCTCATTCTATAGCAGATTTGTCCAGCCTCTGTCCTTATCATGTATCTCTGACACACCAGACTGATGCGCAGCAGCCTCAATTTGTCTGTGCCTTTATTTCCAACTTCGCTGATGGACACTGACACAAGTATTCATCCAGCAAGAAGCTTGCTCAGCTTGCTCAGTAATACTGAACACACTCGAACTAGTGTCGTTGACTACGGTTATGGTTCTTGTGTGCCAACCACTGTGCATTGACCCTGTAGATGGAGGGTACCCACTCACTTTGCAGTGGAGCCATTCAGCCATTTTTATCGGGGTTTATGGACACCGACACGACCCTTCCCACAACAGCACAGTCTATCTCTGGTTCAGCTTCTGTCCCTTATCTTGTGTTCATTTCCAACTTGGTGCAAATGGCACTGGCACATGGCTACGCACAAAATCTGCCCCTCATGAAACTTTTCAGCCTTCTATATGCAAAGCAGTTCAAACTAGTGTTGCTGACACTGGTTCCTGGGCACCCTCTATCTATTAACTCTGTGCATGTGCATTGACCCTCCAGGTGTAGTGTACCCTCTCACAGTGGAAGACTTTTTCGATCTTCCCTGTTTCAACTAGTGTTATTGACTAGCTCTTGTGCACTCTCTATCCACTAACTCTGGTTCTTATGTACCCACTCATGTAAACCTACTGGTTTACAGCATATATAGCCAGCCGCTGATCAACAATCAGTTGTTGATTATGTTGCCTTTTGGCCAACTTTTGGCCTAGAGGTCTGTTGCGCGGCTGGCACAGGCTTACAACTCACTGTGCATTGACCCCCTAGGTGGTGTGCACCCACTCACACTGAAGTGTCAATTCTATAGGCTGGGCAAAATATCTCATATGAATTTTTTTCAATCTTCCCAGTTTTAACTGATGTTATCGACTGGTTCTTGTGCACTCTCTAGCCATTAACTCTGGTTCTTGTGTACTCACTCACTGTGCATTGACCTTCTGCGTGGGGTTGACCCATGTCCCTCTTAGCTCAGTGGTAGAGCACATCACTCGTATCAATTCGCTCTCCGAGTCTTATGATGAGGTCAGTCGTTCAATCCGGCTAGCGGGAATTTTTGTTTGGTGGGTCGTGGTTCTCCACCTTCAGACTCAGACTTTACTTGGAAACCGCTTTCAAAGCACCATCCTTCCTGTGTTCATGTCTCCCTCTGCCCAACACCCATGATTTTATTGGCAATAATCCAATCCGGTCACCTTCTTCGAATTGTTGGGAGTTGAGGTGTTTTGACCCTAGATCCTTGTGAGGAAAAGAAGGAATACAATTGAGAGTGAGCGGAAAAAGGCATGGTGAGCATGGTCGAAGAGCAATGCCACCCTAGGTTGGGTTGCTTCAACGCAGCTGCAAATTTGCCTGAATTCAAGAAAATAATCTGTCATTGAACTTTCCCAACTTGGGAATCAGTAGATTTGACATGACACTGATGCATCTGCACTGACACAGTGTTTGTGAGCTCCCGTCACGGAGTACCCACTATTGTTTACGGGGACTTCAACTCCTTCACATCGAGGAATGGGGACTGTGAGTCTGAATTCTGTTCCGTATCCAGGACAGTTGAGTTTTTGCAGACAAAGGACGGCCTGATACAACGACAGTACAATTTACACCAGGTAAAAGCAATCTGCTTTCTGCTTTCAAGCCTACTACTTCCCATGGCAAACCCCCTGCACCTTTGTCTGGTATTGATTTTATGTTCATGTCAGCCACCTCCATGAGTTGGGGAGGAGCAACAGGACCCACATTTATCCTCTTAGGCACTGTTCTAATCCCTAGAGGAATAAATACTTTCACCGGCCTCACCACCGGACAGATATCCTGGCTTTCAAACATCGGGTTTCCGCCCCAAAGGAAGACCACTTAGGCTGCTGGCTCGCTCGCTTTGCGTGGGTTTCCAATGGACACTTGAATTATCACGGTAGGATGGCGTCAGCTCATGCGACGGAGGAAGTGAAAAGAGTAATTGCTACTTAGCTGCACGTACGTATGCACTAGTAGCTGCCCTCCTCCAAAATTCGGACTTTGAGGAAACTTAGGGTTCCGCTTCCTGCGTCCGGATCGGGCAGTGGCAACTTCAATAAGCTTGATTGAATTGTTGCCCAGAGACCGAAGGCGCTCATCAGCTTGGATTCCCCGCATGCACATGGGCGATGCAAGGTCGATGTTGTCCCCTGTCGATTCAAAGTAGCTGCGAAATAAAATGTGTCGTTGCGTGGGGTGGCGGCTCTGGCGCGGGGCATTCTGTTCTGGTGGGCGGTATATGAACTGGACCCGGGCAGGGACGCAAGACGGAGGCTCGGCACAAGCCACGAGTCACCGCCACTGCCGTGATCGCGGCCATCAATACCACACGTGATGGCTCCGCTTTTGCCCTCCTCAACCTTGTCGCATGCCACTCGCAACGCCTGCTACACGCTTCCGTCGTACGGCTTTGAGAGCGCCTTCCGTCTCACCTTTCCTCCATGGCTCCGTACTTTGAGACCGTGAAGGTACGTCGCGACGACTTTTGACTTTCAAGGGCCCCTGGATGACCGATTGCTGCAGTCCTTTGCGGATGTACAAATTACCGATGAAGGAGTGACTACGGATGACTTTCTGCTCGCCTCGGATGGTTTGGTGGCTCTGTTCGGTACGTTTGTCCACAGAACGGCTGCTACAAACGTTGATCCCTCTTCCCATTGACAGACCTCTTGGGAAGCCAAGTCTTTGGTTTCGTGCAGGCAGATATCAAGAGCAATCTGGCAGTACGCTGTCGCCCTTCCTTCCTTCTCGGTCTACACTCTGACTCCAATCCAGGGCGTCCGCCAGCGGTACGACGCCACAAGCGCTGAATCCGCGACTCTCGAAGATCTTGTGCGATACGAAAAGGCGCAGGGTGAGAAATATGGGACGCAGTGCCTCGTTCGTCTTATACGGTGGGCTATTTCACGGCTCCTTGAATATCCAAGGAGGCTTGACGCGCTGAGCTAGCGGCCTGGCGTTCACGTGTGTCGCGCTACAGACAACGCAGAGCGAGCCGGGGTGCGCGCTTCACGTATGCTTTCGGCGCGCCTACGATGTCGTGCTGAGGCACCATCATAATTTCGTCGTGCGCTCCGTTGTTACGGTGCGCAACCCCTTCTTATCCCGTCCATCTGCTCACGGCTCATTACTCCTGCTTACTTTGGCACAGCTCGCGATACGGTCCGTCCCCCATCGGCACCAGTTCTACGCGCAGATTTCGCAAGGCGGCGACGCAGACAAGTTCGAGGTGGAGCTTGCGCGCTGGCTGGTTGGCCTAGATGCGATCGTGGCGCGGATGAAGGCTTTTTTGGCGGATGGTGGATATGGGCGGGTGTAATGGTGCGTATAGCGGTGTGCACGGTGTCGTGAATCTTTTTTGCTCTGTACTTCTAAATCCTGGTTAATGTGTTTGCGAATACCTTGGGGTTGAAAGTGAGCGAGGTGCGACATTCCGAGCACCTTAACCGTCACACAACTGTCGCTCAATTGTCTTTACAGTTGTCTCAAGGAAAAAAATAGTTTCTGGGTTCCATCTCTCGCAATAATACACATTCTACTTGGAAGGCAAGTGTCCGTTGGAAAATCAAGGACAATACATGGTAGAAAACCAGGACTCTCGGGACACCTCGATTATTGCCCGAGTTGTAAATGTGGGTGCATGAAAAATTTGACGCAAAGGCGACCTTTATTATTCGCACTACGGGAAAGGGTCATGGTTGGCCACCCTGCATATGCACGTTTTCAGCGAACCTACCTGCTCATTTCTGGGTAGGATCCTCGACCAATGGTTGCTCTGGATTGTCGAAGTGCAGCCGGATGGTAATCGGAATGGCGCTACATCGGCCGCACAGTTGGTCGGCAATCTGTCTCTCGAGGTCCCGGTTCGAAACGTCGCAGGGCAGGGACACAGTATCCCACCGCGAAGCGTAGTGTCTCAATGGACATTCGCCTTCTGGTCTCCTCCGAAGCCGATCTTGGAGGTGTGACATCACTATGAAGAGGACGCCGAACAGAATGTACAGCACAACTGGAAATTGTCAATATCGTGTCGCGGGGAGAGGGACCAGACCGACGTATGGCGGCAAATACCCAGAGAATTTGGGTCAACTGTGAAGCGGTTCCAGCTGCCATACTGTTTCTGGTCCTGGTCGTTATGGGTACTGGGAGGTGTGGTTTGTGGGCCCGCCGACGAATTTTATACCAATGTTAGACGCGCAAAATTGCTGTTTCATTCTATGCCGGCACATCTATTCAAGACGCAGCGAGTCAAACGAGAGTACAAAAATGGCAATTTGAAAGGGAAGAGGTGGATTTGGGCACCGATCTTCCAGAGCGAAGCCCCGGAGCGCTAGATGCTGTGGAAATCAAGTTCCAGAGCCGTAATAATCAAGGGATCAAATCTTCTACAGCTTGTCCCCGCCACTGTGAACATTGTCCCCGCCATCTTCGAAAAGGTGCAGGCGGGTAAGGTCAATGTTATCGCCACGACCCGGGCCAGCGCTTCAAGTGAATCTCTGGAAATGAATCAGTAACCGAGGCACAGAACACTCACACTTCTGCCCGAAGCTCCGAAATAATCGCAGGGTTAATCAGCATATCATTATGTCGACAGTGGTCCTCACTGCCCATTTTCTACAATATTCGAAGAAAAAGCTGAGCAAACGCAAGTACAGATTGGTCATGTGATGTCTTGCAGCAAACGCGTATCTGCCAAATATGCGCATACAACTTGGACGCGTCCTTCGAATAACTTGTGTTTCTGTTCGTTACCGTCCCAGAATCAGCGGTGCTGGCGCTCTGTGCATCTCTAAATATCTGATGACCGAAACTCTCAGATTCTTCCTTGATGTCAAACGGCTTGCTTGCGGCCAGGCTGTTGCAACCTTCTGTTATTTCAACAGCACCTGCTGTGTGAAGCGGCATCCTGCTGTGTGGAGCAACATATCTACTATTTTCAGAGATGCATAATAGCTGTGGATTCTTCCAAGGACGGTGCGCTATACAGGAAACGCCGACGAGCACTGCCTACTTGAGCTTCTATCGAATAGTCCAACAATTTTCGAAGCAGATATTCACAGCAGATCTCACAGCAGTTGGAGATTTCAAAAATGTGGACGATTCAGAAATGCGATTCTTACATACATACAGAGGCTCTGTACTGCCCCGAGAAGTATGAGGAAAACACGCGTTCGGCGCAATTCCATCAGATATTCCTTTTGCACAGCTTGTGGAGACTGAGACCGGGCACTGGGCAGTGAGCAAAGTCCTTTATCTCAAAAACATGTAGATAATACGAGTATGAGGGAGAAGTACAATTGAGAGAGTCAGGAATGGGTGCGATATGTGCCAACCGGCAACGGATTCAGATGTCCAACGCCGATGTAAAATTCTGAGAGGTGGATCCCAGCCTTGTAATTGCGGACAAAATGAATTAGCTCGAATAACGACGAATGATTTGTATGTACCTCCGCGTCATTGGGCAGACGCTGCGGCGAAGTCGAAAGCGACCTGCCCATTTGCTGCAACACATTTGGAGGCACTTGGAGCCATGAGGAGATGGTGGCGCCTTCCCTCACGGCATCGAGGGGATTATTCCAAGTCGACGTCACTCCCACAGATGCACGAGTGGCCGGTGCGGACGGGGCATGGGGAGCACGGAACAAGGATTGACGCTTCGGTCCCATGACGAGCAAAATTGCGACACAGAAGGTGACTGAGTCAGATAGATGAGTTGAGTTGATGCCGGATATCGAGAGCACCAACGGGGGATTAGGAAGAACAAGAATATGGCAAGGAGCACTGGTAGGAAGCTCTCTGACATGCGGTCTATCACTGAGTTGAAATGGATGCAGGCGGGAATAATACGACGACGAGGGAAAGCTTCAATGGCGGGCAAAAGCTCTTACGGATCCGAGAGCTCGTCTTATATAGGAGCCGGAAAACTTTGCACAAAGATCAAGGCACTGTATTCCCCGAGAGGTGTGTAGCAACAGCTGTAGATTGGCTGTAGACTGGGATTCCGCACAGAAAGATAACGGCGGAGGTTCAGTAGCT